AGGTTTCATGAATTCCGAGGACGGAATTCCATTTGTTAGGGGGGAAGAATGTAATACCCCTAGTTTTAAAAAGGATAAAATTGGAATTTCAATTATCTTTATTGTATTTTTATGTGACTAGTTGCTTAAATGTTTAATTGGTTTATTTGTTTTAAACTGTTAGTTTTGTATTTGAATTGCCTTATTTGGTTTATTGTATTTTTATGTGACTAGTTGCTTAAATGTTTAATTGGTTTATTTGTTTTAAACTGTTAGTTTTGTATTTGAATTGCCTTATTTGATTAAATATATTTTAATTAAATTAATTGTATTTTTTGGTTGCTGTGGTTACTTTAATTGTATTATTAATTATTTTCTTGCATGGACGTAACTGTTTAATTAAATTAAGTATATGAATTATCTTTTAGGGTTTTAGTATTTTTATGGGCTTGCTGACATAATTAATTAGGATTTACATTTAGGGTTTTTATTGACTTAGGATTTGAAGTTAGTTATAAATATATAACTTATACGTCCCTAGGGTTTGATAACCCTATTCATGGCACAATGAAAATACAGAGGAGATTTTAGAGAGAACTGAGCAAAAGAAAAACAGAACAAAACTTAGAAGGAGAACAGAGAGGGCCAAGGGAGAGTTGTGGTGGATTAAACCAAAACCGTAGGAGGCTTGAAGGTGGTCAGTGGTTGCCAGAAATTAGGAAGACGACAACACAGTTTTGAGACCAAAGCTACAGGCAAGTTCTTCTACTTTCTCCTTCTCTTTGGCTTGTGTTCTGTGCACCTAGGTAGTCTCTAAGGTTAAATAAATTATAAACTAAAACTTACATGTTAATTGTATGTTATATTGATAATCTGTTTCGGTTGTAATCGAATCTATTACAGGATTCGTACATATCTGTTTTCAGTTTTGTTGGAAAAGCTTGTTAGTCTGGTTGTAATTTTAGACTCTAGGGAATTTTTTGAGTCTTAAATGGATCTTGCATGATTATTATATGTCAAATTTTAACATCTGTTGTCTGAGAAATTAGTCTGAAATAAATTCGTTCTTGTCTGTTCCAGTTTTGCTCTTTAAGCATGCTAGTAAATTGCTTAGTTAAATCTCTGTATTTGATTTCAAATTGTTGTTCTAAAACCATTGGGAGTCTGTTTTGGTATTAATAAGACCTTAGGATAAGTTTTAGAAGTCAACTGAAGGGTGGACATAGGCCGGAGAAGAAGCAGAAGGACGAGGACGGAGTAAACGGGGACTGGAAGCTCTCAAAGGAGGTGAGAGCCGGCTCCATTGAAGTGGGAGCTTGCTCCCAGACTCATTGAGCCGGCTCTAGAGTCCATAGAGCCGGCTTTAGGCTTAAAAGAGCCTGCTCTTGGAATTTAGAGCAGGCTCTCAAATAGTGGTTTTCTGATTTTTTTTTTTTTTTTTTTTTTTTTTTTTTTTTTTTTTTTTTTTTTTTACGATCTGTTTACAACTGTTGGAGCATGGGAACTGTTTGGATGGGTCTGGGTCTACACAGAGGTATTAAGAAATTTATTTTCGGTGTAATTAAGACCTTAAGTTGATTAAAGTTGACCTCTAAGTCAATGGGATAAACAATATAAAATTAAGGAATTTTCTATGCTGTTAACGGAGAAGAGAAATAAATTGCTTAATTAAATTTCAGCAATTGTTATGGGATTTAGTAAGTTATTAAAACTTATTTTATATGCACGGTGAAGTATTTTAATTAACCAATTGGACTTGTGGCATAGTGTATGGCTCTGTGCTAAATGATGAAATAGAATACGAGTATACAATTTAGTACGCTATTATCGGACAAAAGGAACTAAATTGCCTAGATTAGTTTAGCAATTGATTGGACTATAATATGATTATAAAACTTATTTGTAATGCATGATAGAGTCATTGATATATTAGATGTGATCTACGCATGCTTTAGATGCTAGTCGTTGAACCTTTAAACCGTTTCCTGCAAATACATGGTTTAACTCTTGGATTTAAATTGCTGAAACTATAAATAGTCTCCTGCAAGTATTTGGGATGGTTTTGGATTGAAAATTGCTAAACTGTTAATTATGTGTTGTAATTTACATGGGTTAGATGTTAATTGTGGAATCTTATATATTATTCTACAATTAATTGGATTATGGTTTTGAACTGTAATTGTTGTGGCATTGTATCAACTATTCTGCAATGACATGGATAATTGGTTTTGGACTGTAAATTACTTGCTTGTTATTTATTTGTTGTAATTTACATGGATATAGAGGATTGTATGCACCGGTATGGGACGGTGACATACTAGGTATGGTTTAGCTCAAAACGCTCATTCCTATCTTATGGATTTTAATTGGTGAACAGTTTTATCTGTTCAATCAATTATATGGATTTTGTGAATTGTATGCACCGGTATGGGACGGTGGCATACTAGGGACAGACTGATTCAAAATAACTCAGTCCTACCTATTTTGGATTAAGGGTTCGAATTAGAAAAACATAATTTTCCTTATATTTAAGTTTGTGCAGCTGAATAAGCTGAACGACTTATTGGATTTCCTATGGATGGATATGAATGGATTTTTAATATATGTTTATGGTACCACGAGATGAGCTTGAGTCTCAGACTCGTTTGTTAGGGTGCGTATATGCAGTGAATGCGTAACTGGCTATAGTAGGTTGAGGTATACCCTGTTAGGTCTAGGTACTCATGCCCACATTTGGATGCGTTTTCGCATGTTGCCTTCTATTCAGGTTGAGATCCCTACTGTAGTCCAGTGAATGTCCCTTATTGTGGATATATCTATATGTATGGACTAGATAGCTATTGTTGAGATATCTAGGGTGTATCTGCGTATCGAGTCACTGTTTGGATTGTAGTTAGAGAAGAATTTGCATGTGGGCCTGACCCACTCTTATTTTTACAGGTGTTCGTTAGTTCAAGACTTAGAGCTGGATCGTGCTGAGCAGATACAGTCATTCACTCCACCGATGACCAGGATTTTATTTCATGTTTTAGACTTGGGTTTCATTTCCAGTCTTTTGAGTTTAGTGAGATTTTTAGGGGTCCACTAGATGGATTCCCGAGTTGTAATAGAAGTGGAGAAGTTAGATATATCAGAATAATTCTTTATTAATAAAATTTTATTCTGAGGTTTTTAGATTATTATTCTAGTTTCTTTTCAGCAATTTATTTATTCCTGTTTTCTTAATTGTATTCTGTGTTCGATTATTACTAATTGATTTGATATCCTCGGATTATCGGGCGTGGGCCTGGCCAACCCGCATTCGGAAATCCGGGGGTATCACAATTACCCATGGGAAGAGTACCTAAGGGTACTAAAAATAGTACCCAAGGGAAGATTACCCATGGGAAGAGTACCCAAGGGTATCAGAAATAGTAACTAAGGGAAGAGTACCCAAGGGTACCAAAAATAGTACCCAAGGAATCATTACTCAAGGGAAGAATACCCAAGTGAAAAATTCCCCAAGAAAAAAAAAAAAGAAATAAATTACTATTCACATGAACAGTACCCCCGCGGGCATTATTCCCGGGGGAACTATGCCTAGGGCAAAAAAAAAAAAAAAAAATTGTTCACTTGAATAGTACTCTCGGGCACTCTTCCCAAGGGAACAGTGCCCAAGGCAAAAAATAAAATAAAGTTTACATTCCCAAAGTTAGACGAGCAAGTTTGGGAATGGGAGACAACTGATAAAGAAAAATAAACCTAACCTACCTTGTCCATCCGCCAGATCTCTTTGACATATTTTGTTATCAAAGATAAAGATTTCCATCGGATAAGAATGATTACATTTCTTATCCAGGATAAGGAAAGACGACGTGGTTCAACAGAGTAAGGATAACCTTGGCACAATTTAAGAAAGTCAAAGGAGTAAATCATATCCTCGACAAATCTGGCAACAAACGGATCTCTTTTGATCTCGCACAAGCGGATGATAAGGGAGACCTCAACCATCGATATCGGTAGAACCAATTTGGTTTCAATCGACAGCCATAAATAGGGCACCAAGCCATTAAAAAACGGTACGAGAAAAAACCCTTAAAGAGAACATACATAATTATTATGTGATACGATTACAAGTATTAACTTGATCGTCAGAGGGTCCTCTGCTGGCACCTCACCGGTGCCATTCGAGGTGAAATTCCTTTGTTTTGTAGGTAAACGCTGTCGTTCCGAGTCGTGAGAATTTTCGCATCAACAGTTTATATTACAGCAAAACGGTGAATCAACTCCATGTTTCTCTAAAGTATTGTACAACATTTGTTTCTTTTGTTCCATCCACTTAGTTTCAAAAGTCAGAACTGGGTTTTAGTTGACTATGTTCAACAAAAGATATTTAATCATTCAATCAAGATTCACTAAAAATTGAAATGAATTTTCATTATGTTAATCTGCGACACATTCTGGGCTTGTAGAGGTTCCACAATAAAGTAAAATTTTTATTTAAGGTATTCAGAGATTGACTTGAATTTTCTCTTTGTTTCTCTCTCTCTTTTTTCAAAATTATATGGATGTGTATTCTAGGTATATTATACAATGTTTTACTAACTACAAATGTTATACTAGAGTCAAAGAATAAAGTGGGTGTGTGAGTTATGTGTGTATTTTTTGCCAATGTAAAAGTAAAAAAAATAAAAATTAAAAAAATTAAAAAACTAGAGTCAAGTGTCCCATGAATTTCCATAAATTCTCAAAATCATTTTTATGCCCTTCGTAGTTTTTAAATCAGTAACTTAAAAATTGATAATTGATCACAAAATAGTGTAACTTTTAATTGACCATAAAAGAGTTAGGATTACAATTGATCTAAGTGTTTTTCAATTGTAATGCCAACTCTTTTGTAATCTCATTTCTTTGTTACAAGTATTTTATTTATTTTTTGGGGGATAATAAACAAATGAATATTTAAGAAACTACGCATAACTTATGCCACCGACAACAAATTTATATAAAAAAATGCATTGAAAGAGAAAAAAGGAACTTACACTTGGTGTGTTATAATTGTTGCCCCGAGCTCTCTCCTTCAACTTCATCTTCATTTGTTTCATCATCTAGAAATTGATATCAAAATGGAAAGCATTAGCTGAGTCATTAATTTCTTATAGAAATTCAAGGACAAATTTCATACAACTAATAAAAATACATAGTCTTTATCATATTTCTTATTAGAATTTTATCAACTCCATATTTACCTCTTGGCCGTCGCCATTCCATGATTAATTTGTTGCTCTGCAAACCATGATTAATTTTTTGCTCAAGGGTCTTGTGAATATGATGACCAAATAAACTTGTCACTGGCTTTCTTGTGCCTGATGTGGTCCAAATTTGGTCACACCCCTTAACATAGATGTGAATTAAGGATGGCAATTGAAAAGCAATATTATTTGGCTCACAGAAGCTTCTCAGGTTTGGTAGATCGTAGAGACGCAGATACTCTAACCGAGGGAGCAGAATTCCAATTTTATCTATAGCATCTTTTGCTCCTTCTTCTTCATTTCTCACTATTTCTTCAATCGAACAACAGGAATAAATATATAGTCTCCGAAGTTGGGCGAGACCTGTTGTTGCTATTGAGAGAGAGAACAAATATATCACCCTGTTGCAACGACCAACTGCCAGACCTGTTAGGTTGTTGAAGACCAGAAATCCCTGTCTTACTATGGCATTAAGTCCTTCCCGGTTGAAGGTTACTACACCTTCTAATGAACTACACTCATACATACTGAGTTCTTCAACAGCCTCAAACCTCTGTAGCAGGTTAGGAGGGAAATTTAACAATTTGCTGCTCCGAGTTACCATCAAGTCTCTTAGTTTTCTAGAGGAGCTTGCTGGAATCTGAGAATTCCAAATATGTTCAAAGAGGCTCCCATCAGAGAGTACCAGTTTCTCCAACATTGGAAATGCAACCTGCGAAAAAGTCACTCAGTACGCCCATGCATATATACATATTTCCATCAAATAAAGATAATACTATTGAAATCCATTCCCAAATTAAAGATGCAAGGCTTGACTCTTCATTATTTTAAATAGTTCAGGTTTTGTTTGGCTCGCCTCGTCTAATAAAAATAGCCAAGATATATTCAGTGTTCGGCCTTGATTTTCACACTGTGTTCAAGATCACTTTCGCTCATGCATGAGCCTACATTTCATGAATGGTCTATGAGCTTAAAGAGTTGAGCCTAACAATTTTCGGAATTGGCTCGTTTATTTAAGAACAACCATATCACAACTTGAGATTTCTGTACAATTTTTTTTTTAACCAGGAAACAACAGGAATTGAGCCATAATTAAAGAGATGTCTAATTCACACGCTACACAAAATATAAATAAATAAATCAATTACAACAATAATTTTATTAAATATCTTCCAAGTAGAATCCATCTTTTTTCCAATCTACTTCGTCCTACCATAAAAACTAACGTTTTTACAAAGCAACATTTTATCTGATGGTTCTCCCTTTGTGTTTTTACTTGTTGGGCTGCCTTTATTAGCTTTGGTGGATGGAATCGCAGGGGACAAGGAAGATCTGTGAGTTGGGTTCTTTGCCTCAGTTTTTTGTTGTGTTAGGTGGCAACATCGAGGCCATTGATCATAGGTGAAATCAACATGGGCTTGGCGGGGACATGGAGTGATAAGGGCAAGCCTTGGGTTAGGCTTGATCAAAATAGATCACGTCCGTTGGATTTGGGGACCATATAATCTATACATGACCAATCTCCACAGTCCACATTAAATCATCATCGGCTTTGTCGACTGATTCCAATTTAATTGGGAATTTTATTTGGCAGCAACACAATATTCTCTCATTTAGAAATTCAGGAAAAAATTATTTCATTTGATGATGATTATGTTATTTTTTTTTATTTTTCTTTTACATGCTGATTCAAGAATCTTTGATAGTCCTCTAATTATTTACATTTATATATATCTACATATATATATACACACACACACATCAACATTTTCCTTTTCCAAAAAAAAAAAAAAAAAAAAAGGAAATTTGGTGGGTTTTTTAAAATTTTGAGTGAAGGAATTATTGAATTTAAGAAGAATAATTTGGTATTCTAAAATAAGTATTTGGAGGATATTTTGGACTTGAATAATAATTTTATATGTATATTTAATTATTTTGCTTAAGTCAACCAAAATAAAAAATAAAATTTTAAAATAAACCAATTTGTTATTTAGTACTTTTAACCTTACTGAAATGTAGTTTTCCCTACATATTATATATTTTATTCTTTGATTAGCTTTCTTTTTATTGATTTAAAAATTATATATTAATGTGTTTACTTCTCTAATTAGATTTTTTAATATTATGTATTTCCTTTTTTAATTATATTTTCTTTTCATATAATATAGTAGTTGGAAAAACTTATTTGTTTAGTTAACAGCAATAATATACTCCATACTAGTTAAAATTGAAAAGAAATCGAATTTAAAAATAAATTAATATATATACTGAAATATTATAAATTTCATTCTCTAATTATATTTCCTTTTAATTTAATATAATAATTGGAAAAAAAAATTATTTTTTTAGGTAACAATAATAATATTGCAGTTAAAAATGAAAAAAAAAATTAATTAAAAAATAATTAATATATGTGTTCGGCTCCTAAAAACCATGGTCCTTTCCAAGTGAGGAAAGGAGGGTGAGTGTTGGGTGTGCCAGGAACTGCTATCGTTCTAAAGTAGATATCCAAACAATTATTTAGTAGGAGATTGCAGGGATCAGGCGATTGTACGAGGGACTAGAATTACCACCTTCGAGGGTTCTTTTTGCCTTAAAAAAGGACTTCTGGATTACTTCATGGCTAGTGGAAATGAAAGCGGTATTGAAAGTGTATGACTTCAAAGTAAGGTGCTGGAAAGTAAGAAAGATAAGTGCGGAACTTGAATTAAATATATTGAAAGTGTATTACATGAATGTAAAGATACATGAATGTAAAGTAATTGAAGTGATGTATTGCTATGTGATTTGCACAGGATTTGCAAACTAGCTCTAAATGTTTTATTTATAGAGCTCCTCCATGCATGTTGCAGTTTGATGTGGCAACTTCAGTGATTTCCACGTGGCTTGGCCTGAAATTACCAAATGTCCACGTCCTTGGTGGTTATTCCCAGTTTTACAACGATCTTTCTCTGTCTTCTTCCTTCTTTGTGTTTCTTCCGAACATAATTCCAGCCATGTCTTTTTAGTCTTCCATAATCTTGAATCGTGGGTAGTTTTGGAGTGGGTTTTCCACTTGTCTTCTTTATGAACCTACATGTGTCCCACGTTCCTGTTTTTCTTCCTCATGTTGTCGACTTCTTTCCTTAACTTCAGACACGATCTTATCAACTTTAGCCTTGTCACCCATGATCCTTGATAACTTCCCCCGGTTAGTGGTAGTTCCCCTATGAATTTCCACCACTTTCAACCGACGTGTTTATATTTGGCCAAGTATCCCATGATTTTAGGAGTCTTTTCTTTTCATAGCATCGTGGGTTGTATCTGATACGAATCTATATACATATATATATGCATAAATATACATCATCCCCTTTTCTTCGACACCCACGTTTCCTTGATTTCAGTAACCTCCCTTAACCAGACTTTCCTTTCTGGTTTTTAGACTTCATGACGCCATGGACCCCTTAATTTCAGCGTCCTTCTCATCATGGATTGGCATCCTCAATTTCTATAACTTCCCTTTTTGAGAATTTCCTTCCAGGCTCAAATTTATGGCGTCGTGGTTTCCTTCAGCAACTCCTTTATTTATCGTGGGCTATATATATATATGTATATATATGTAGAAATATATTCTTCATTTCTGGAAAACATCACTCCACTTTCTTTGTAAATAACCACGTTGTTTAATCTAGTCAGAAGTTGTTGTTGAAGCCTCCTAGTTTTTAGGAGAAAATCCAGCCCCACGTATGTCTTGCTTAGTCAACCATGATTTCATAATTAAATGGAAAATATCCATTTAATTGGTATCCTTTAAAAATAAGATTTTCCATGAACCTTCAATAAAACCAACTCTTAAAAGAATTGATCTATCGTGGCTAGCACCATGGCAAGCTCAGTAGAACTCGTCATGTGTTAATAAACCATTGGTTGGATGAACTTTGACTTGGATAAGTGTATGAGGTTGAATATAGTATAGTATTTCTATGTAATCGATTCATTCCATATAGGAAGAGGTGGGTCCTTGTTTTAAAGATGGCAAGTCCTAATAGGACTTACCTCTTTTCCTTTTAAAATAAAAAACCCCACATGGTAGGATTATACTAACCCACTTGTCTAATTACTATGTAATATTACATAGCTTTTAATAATAATTCATAAGAGTTACAATCCATCGTGGTAAGTTTTATTAGAACTCGCCACATACTTCCTCCTTATTGGTGGATAACACAAAATCAACCTTCACCAATTCCACACTATGCTTCCTCTTTTGGACATTTAAAACACCAATTCAGTGTGGCAAGCTAATTGGAACTCGCCATAAGTCGCATTTCCATTGGGCAAAAATAATGGAGTAAACATATGCCCCTCAAATTCCATATTTTATGGAACAACTTGATGATAAGGCATGGGATTTAAATTCCGCCATTTGACCCACTTAAATTCTAAGGCAACTATCATAGCTATATAACTTCCACCTTTTCATGTGGCTAACTCCTTGGTTCCTTCCACATTAATTAATTTTTTCCACCGCCAATTTGAAAAGTATAACATATCCCAAAAAGATCTTATCCATTTATGGCTAACAACCAAAAACCTCATTACTTCCCTTTTAAATTTTGAACTTTCCAAACAAATCCCCTTTAAAGTCGTCATTGAATTGGACACTCATAGTAATCATTAAAGGAAGAGTTTTTATACAACATGTTGTTGGCTCCTCGATTTCCTCCATGTCAATCTTCATCTGCCGCCACTTTCAAAAGGAACAATCTGTATCCCAATATAAGTCTTATCCATTTATGGCCTAAACCATCAAACTTCCTAATCTTCATTACTCCCTTTTGAATTTTGAAAATCCCAACTACTAAACCTCAATAAACGTAACTCTTTCATTGCTTCTATATATATATATATATATGCATATATATATATTTCCTGCCATTACCGCAAAACCTTTCTCTTTTTTCCCACTTTCTTCTCCTCCAACCAAACCCTAAAATCACAAACCCTAATTTTGTGGAAGCTATGAACCATGGCTCCTGTCAAAGTTAAGAAACCTTCCAAACAGACCACTAGTTCCTCTCTTCCAGCCCCTTTAGTTCATACTAAAACAAAAACTCGAAGCCATCAAGTCCAATTACTTCTGCAATCCTTAAATCTTACTAAGCTGCATCTCGTTCCCTTGGTTCCCTTTGAAGATTCTTCAGTTGAACTTGGACTGGCCTTTGCAGGTGTGGCCCCTTCCGAGTTGGCAAAGTTCTACCCTTCCAGTACATCCCCTCTTCCCTTTGATTCAGATTTCCCTCTTATTTTAAAGAAGGGAAAGAAAGTAAAACCCTCATTCAGTATAAAGAATTGGCCACCATATCATTCCTCTTGGACTTCTTGGGTGAATCGTCTTTCCAAAGATGAAAAGATTTCCTCACAATGAAGAAGACAAGGAATCTTTGATATTATCCAAATCAGCAAGGTCTCCATCATACTTGATCCAAATCTCCTCTTTCCATCCCTTTTCTTCTGGTCCATAACTACAAATGCCCTCCACCTGAAATGTGGAATGATGTCTCCTACTCTAAGGGATATTTGTTGTTTTACCGGCCTCAAACCTCATGGAGATGATGTTAGTGCCACTCTCTATGTTGACTAATTTCATTTTCCTACCAAAATCACTGGCAATAAGAAATTTGTTTCATCCCACCTTCATTTCATCAAACACTACAAGAAAACTGGCCAGTCGAAGAGGACGAGCACATAGCTTTCCTAATCTGTTGACTTTCTGGTTACTTGCTATGCGTTCCATTCGACCAAGTCACCAAGGAATTTGTTCAAGTTGCCATATCTTTAGCCAGGAATGGAGATTTGGCATTGGCTCTTCTCTTACTCTCCCATTTGTACAGAGGTCTGAATGACCTCCTCGCTTCCAAATTCTCAAGATTTCAAGACCCTTTCTGGTTATTCTAGATGTGGCTTAAGGTATATTTCCAAGATAGAACTTCCCCTCTTGCCATGCAGACTCGAAAAACCCTTCTATGCTATCCCTTGGCAACAACATCCCCTTTCACTTTCAACTTTGCTAAAAACTTTAAGTATTTTTACAACCAATGTGAAACTGGAGATGACAAGTTCTTCGATCCCTTTACTTTCCTTGGTCGTATGCCATCATGGTTAGTTAATTCTCCGGGGGTTTCCACCAAAAAACATTCTGGAGAGTGGAAAAGTATTTGGGCAAGCTTTTTACTTGCTCGAGACCTTTATTATAGCACGACCAACCCTAACCTAAGGAATAGCTTTTGTGGTGTGGAATTCTACGATCCGGCTCAACTGGTTAGGCAAATGGGGTTCACCCAGCTTATTCCCTTGCCACCATATAAATCTCAAAATAGATACTTTGATAAACGGGTAAGAATCACAGGATGTTGCAAAATTTGTAGCAATTGATAAGGCTTATGAAGTGGAACGGTCGGTTTTTAACTTTCAAGGCCATACTAACAAGCCTTAGTCCTCTAATGAGTTTACTATACGGTGGACGGCCTACATTTCTTCCACTAGAATAAGAATCATAAGGCCATTTGTGACACTATTTTAGCCTCCTTCAAACCCTTGTCTCTAGGTATAAAAGTGTTTCACTTCAAACTTTCTCTTTTCTTTTATATTACTGTAAACTTTCCATACTCTGAAATTTAAACTGTTGAATTCCAGATGGAGAAGAAGAAATGCCTGAGGAAAGTGATGACGACGAGGGTGGAGAAAAAACTGTTGTCTTACCCAGCAAGGTTAAGGGTGTGGCTGAAAGCAGTGATGTGAGTCATGAAAGTATTTCTTCTAGTGATGATGGAAAAGAAGAAGAAGTTGGGGAAGAAGAAGAAGAGGATGTTTTGTATAAGGTAAATGGAAAAGAAAAAATCTCTCAGGTATTTCCAGCAAAACTAGACTTAACTTTTCCAACTTCTGGATTCCCTGATATCTCCTTTGTAGGGACTGGCTATTGTGAAGAAGGAGTTTCAACCCCAACTTTCTTCCTCTGATGAAAATTCTTCCGATGATGATCATATTTCCAAAGGGCAAACTCATACTCAACATTCTAGCAAAACGCTCACCAAGCGTAGCCCCTCTGGAAAAGTTGCTGGAAAGGCAAAAAATGAAGATTGACTTGGAAAAGGCCGAGGACTTCAAATAGCCTAGAGACTTTCCAAAAGTGAAAAAGTTAAAACCAACCAAGGAGATTGTTTTGGTAAGTCTCATTTGCTATCTCCTTCACCCTTTTAATTTCTTAAAGTATTCATAATTCCCTTTTATACTTGATCAATAGGGCTCTACCAACATTCAACCAGATGTACAAGTTGCCTATGGAAAGGACTTAGACCTTCAAGCCTCTATTATGGAAATTCTGGCTGGTCAAAGTGGAAAAAGTCTGCCCATTCCAACTCCCACTATTGGAACATCTATTCCTTCTGGTATTGGTGGAACTTCTACAGGCCCTCCTCCTTCCAACCTAGAGGCAAGTCTTTATGCTTTTAAACTTTGCCTCATTTCTTACTCTGTCTAATAAGCAAAACTTTTCTTTCCTTCAGGCTACCCTCTCTTTGTCAACATCAACATCTTTCACGATGCATAGAGGATCTCTTCTTGCATTGGCCGATCTATACAAAGTGATCAAGGCCACTCAATCTTCAAGCACTTCAACTTCAAGTGCCAATGTACTCATACTTCCAGATCCTTCAGAGTACCCTATCACAGCAGCCAAAAGAAAATTGTTATCTTATCTTATGATGTGTAAAAAGTTGTAACCTTCCATCAAGACTTGGCCAGCACTATAGTTACTCTGAAGAAACACCCTAGATTTCCTGATCACACTCAAACTTCCTTAACCATTTTGTAGCATCAACTTCAATTTCTTGTTTCATATATGAGTTCCAGTTCTTCCTCTCTCTCAGAATATGAAAGAAAAGCTAAACTTAGGGACAAAGCCTTTGAAAGCTTTTATCTTGCTTTAGAACCCTACCTAGAAATCAAGGCACGAGCTGAGGAGTTTGTAGCCAAGAAAAATATGTTGACTGAGGAGCTAAACAAAATTCAAAAAGAGTTAGAACAAGTAGAATATGATGAATTTGAGTTGGACCAAACAGCTAGTGCCATCCTCACTGAGTCTGAGCCTTACAGGAAAGAATGGGAAAGTCTGGTAAACGAATTTCCTCAACTTAAAGAAACAAAGAACAAGGCACTAGCTAATCTTGAAGAAGCAAGGAAAATTTAGATGGCACTTGGAGGCGTCCTTGCCGCCATGTAATGTGGTTCTTTACAAGATATTTATGTGTTTGTTTTTGGAAAGAACTTGTGGTTGTTAGTAGAAAATAATTAAGTTAGTTTTGAAATCTATTGCATGGCTAACTTTTAGGTTTAGCGGCCAATTTTGGAACATGTCATAAAATCAAGTATCTAATGGAAGTGATGTTCATTTCTCAATTCTTTTGTATGTGCCTCTTGCATGGAAAATTTCTAAATCATTGAAACTGGAAAATTCCGTCACATATATTAACAATAAGGCTTAGTCATAAAATGACTTTCCATAACAAAGGAATTCAGAAAACAAAAGAACTTACTAACATGGAAAAACATGTATATACAAGCAAGATCAGTAATATCCAAGATGAATAAAACCTGGACCATGTAATGTAGTCTCTTTTCTATGAAATGATCCATACTTAGGAAATTAGCTGATCCTTAAAATTCAGCTAAGTCAGCTTCATGGTTCTAGCCAATGTACCCTTTCAAGTGCTTAACATTTTCTCTTTGAAATGAATTTTTACTTAACTATCAAAAATGGTCAAAGTATGGCCATTATGTTTCCTTTCCAGCTTTCCAATTTACTTGGAAAAAAAGGTGCCAACCAAGTTATGTGACTGGTAGCATAATTGAGAATTTTCAATTTTCATAGATAGAAGGGTGATACTCTTTTAAGTATACACCATTCACAGGATGCTTGTGGGATCCTCCATCTATATCCATCAATCTATAAGCCCCTTTTCCAAGGACTCGTTCTACCAAGTAAGGACCATTCTAATTTGGGGTCCACTTTCCATATTCCTTGTCTTTGACTCCTAGTGGAAAATCTAACTTGCCATACCAGGTCTCCTTCAACAAAAGTCTTTGCTTTAACCTTCTTGTTATATGCACGCATGGCTTTCTTCTTTTGAGCAATAATATGGTCTAAGGTATTAAGACGGACTTCATCAAGGTCTCTAATTCCACCAACATGATATGGTTGTAATCTGTTAGAGTAAGCTTGTTTTGGAAAGCCACCCTTGTAGACTTTATGGTTATTTCCACTGGAAGAACAGCATCATGTCCATATGTAAGCATATATGGTGTGATGCCAGTATTTGATCTTTTTGAATTTCTGTAAGCCCAAAGAGCCTCAGAAAGTAGGTGATGCAACTTCTTTGGATGATTCTCAATCATCTTTTCAAGGATGTTAAGAATTACTTTGTTGGAAGCTTCTGTCTGTTTATTTGATTAGGCAAAATATGGAGTGAAACTGATCACTTGGACGCCACACTCAGCACAATAATCAAGAACTTTGTTTCCAACAAAGGAAAGACCTCTATCAATGGTGATAGTCTCTGGAATTCCAAACCTATGTGTAATGTGCTTCTTAATAAAATCAATCACTGTTGACTGTTCACAGGTATTTAATGGAATGGCCTCCACCCACTTCGTGAAATGATCTGTTGCCACCACAATATGAGTATGGCCATCTGCAGATTATGGTGTTAACTTTCCAATAAAGTCCAAAGCCCACCCTTTGAATGGTCATATTTTCACTACTGGCTATATGTTGATAGTTGGAACTCTTTAGACCGGGCCAAGTTCTTGACATGCCGTACAAGTCTTTGCAAACTCTATGCAATCTTTCAATATACCTTTCCAATAATAGTCGTACCTTCTAAGAAGCCACCTCATCTTGATTCTACCTGATGAGCTCCACATTTTCCAAGGTGTGATTCTGCCATTATTCTCATGGACTCATTCCAACCAAGGCATCTTAGCAGGAGTCCATCTTCTTTATTCTTTTCGTAGAGATATCCATCAATCAAAATATAATAAGGTGTCATAAACTAAACTTTCTTGTCCACATTGGCACTAGGATCCTGCAAGAAATGGATAATTGGTGTTCTCCAATCTTCCAAGTCTAATCCATCTATATCAACATTGAAAATCTTCTATGTCTTTTTGGCAGGATCTTTTCTGGCTCGTCAGTCTGGAAGTGACCTACCATCTCATGCTGTGACTCTACAAAAGGGAGAGTCCCTTTTTATTTTTATTTTTATTTTTATTTTTTTTATTGTGATCAAAGTCTCTTCTACACCCAGTGGGACTTTCACTCAAGAAGCTAATTGTGCTAGATCATCAGCCTCCGTGTTCAAATGTCTTGGCGAATATTTGAATTGGAAATCATTAAACTGGCATAGTAATTCTAAGGCCAAAGAGTGAAAAGGTCTCAAATGCCAGTTGAGACATCTATATTCTTCAGAAAGTTGGCTAAGTATCAAGTTGGAATCTCCAATAATCTGAACCATATCCATCTTTAGCTCAAGCAGGATTTCTAGCCCAATAATTAGTGCCTCATACTCAGCTTGGTTATTTGTACACTTGAAATCCAAGAAGAAAGAAAATGTGAAATGATGACTATTCTAGCTCCTCCTCCATCATGAGTGCTTCATCCATCAAACATGAGAGTCCAAGGTGTATAGTCAAGGTAGAGATTATCCACCTCATCACATACTTCTGAATCTATCTTAGCAAAAGAATAATCTGCTAGAAATTCTGCCACCTCCCTTCCTTTAACTGCCTTTTGTGGAATATACTTAAAAAAAAACTCCATTAAGGCCAATAAACACTTTCTAATACGTCCAGTAATCAAAGGCCTCGAAAGCATGTACTTAATCAAATCTGTCTGAGAAATAATATACACGGCCACTGGCAACATGTAGGTTCTCAACTTCATAGCTGCATAATATAAGAAAAGGCATAACTTTTCAATGGAAATGTACCTACATTTCACTAGAGTAAACACCTTACTTAGATAAAAGATGGCTTGCTCCTTTCCCCATTCATTATTCTGGGCCAGAAGGGTTCCAATTGATTCATCAGCGGCCAATAAGTATAATCTTAAGGCCGCTTCTTGATTGGAGGCATCATCATTAGAGGGTTGGCTAGGTAGCTTTTCAAACCTTCAAAGGCTTGCTGGTGCTATTCTGTCCACTTGAATTCTACAGCACCTTTCAATTTCAGCAATGGAGAGAAAGTATGAGTCTTTCCAGCATGGTTGGCAATGAACCTCTTTAAATATCCAACCTGGCCAAGAAATCTTTGTAATTCTTTCTTAGTGGCCGGTAGCTTTGCTTCAATAATTGCCTTTACTTTATTTTGGTCTATCTCAATACCTCTCTAATGGACTAGGAAACCCAGGAAGTTTTTAGCTGAAACTCCAAAGGCGCACTTCAAGGTATTCATCTTCAACTTATGCTGCCTCATTCTTTCAAAAGCCATCTTTAGATTATGGAGATGTTGAACCTTGGCCGAGAATTTGATGACTACATACAATGTAGACTTCCAAAAAATGGCCGATCATGTCATGGAAAATGGCATTCATGGCCCTTTGATATGTTGCTCCGGCATTCTTCAACCCAAATGGCTTAGCGACCCATTCAAAGGTTCCAATGGATCCTGGACATCTGAAGGTTGTCTTAGCAATATCTTCCTCTACAATGTAAATCTTGTTGTACCCGAAATTTCCATCCATGAATGAAATAATTTCATTCTTAGCAGCAGAATCTACTAACTGGTCGATCAGTAACAAGCATGGGGTATTCATCTTTTGGAATTGCAAGATTAATATTCTGGAAATCCACACATATCCTTAGCTTGCTATTTTTCTTAATAACTAGAACTATGTTGGAAATCCAGTCAACATACCTTGCAGTTCTTATAAAACCAGCCTTGTGTAGCCTTTCTATCTCTTCTTTAACCTTTAGAACAACTTATTGGGATATCTTTCTTGGAGGCTGCTTGAAAGGCTTGAAACCTTCCTTGATTGGCAGCTTATGCTCATCAACTCTGGAAAGTCCTGACACTTCCTCATACGTCCATGCAAAACAATCCTTGTATTCATAAAGTAAGGAAATCAATTTTTCTCTAAAGGTTGGTTCCAGAAGCTTACTGATGTAGGTATGCCGTGGGTCTTGCTCCATTCTAAGATTGACTTCTAACAAGGAATCTTACACTTCGGCCCTAAGATCATCAAGCTTTATTGATGCTGCCTTTAAGTCTATCAGTTGGATAACATCTAATTTGTCTTCAGTATCTTCCATAATCTCCAAAACATTGGTTGAAAATGAAATACTGGTAGCTGCAGTCCTTTCTAGCCGTAGTTCAGTTAGATATGCTTTCAACCTGGCAAGGCAGCAATTAACCGCCTGGCCAAGTATTCTATCTTCTTTAGGTTTCTCTTCCATAAAAACTTTTGTTTGAAATGTAGTGTTGGACACCAGCCTTGGGTAGAATTGTTGGCCTTGGTGTTCCTTGGAAAAGCTCCCTTATATCCTCTTCGGTGAGGGTTCTCCTCACAATGGCCTTCCTTGGACGGCCCTTGCTATCTTTTCCAATAAATCTGTTTAGAACGAATTATTCACTGTATAGCTCGGCATCAGCATGGTGGACCCTTGCCACAAATGACAAGTTTTCAGTCTCCACCACTTTTACCTCATCTCCATCCCAAAATATCAGCATTTGATGGAGTGAAGATGGAATGTAAAAGTTTGGGTGAATCCATTCGCAGCCTAAAAGCAAGTTATAGGCTATTGTGGACTCAATGACGAAGAAGGCTGTGATTGAAGTTCTATCTCCCACCGTTAATTCCAACGGTAGAATGCCTTGTGTCTTTACTATTCCTCCCGTAAATCCACTAATGGATACGTCGGTTGGAATAATGTCTTCAGGTGACTTTCCAAGCATGTGCATGACATTGACTGGAACAACGTTTAATATTGAACCGTTATCTACCAGAATAGGGGCCTCCTTTCCACCAATACCTTGATAAATAAAGGTTTGAGCTGTTGAGTCATGCCATATGATGGCTTTTCCAAGACAATTTTCTTTAGAGCTGTGGGGCTTTTTTTTTTTCAACTACAACCCCTTTTAATTTTTGAAGATGCTCAGCTTCATCCTGAAAAACTTCTTCTATATGGATATCATTATTCGGTTCCATTATGAATGGCCCAAAACTAGACTGTCCAGGGCTTTCCATAGGAGGACTTGTATCTACTACATTTCCTTCCATTGAAGTTGGTTGATTTGGCTGTGGCTCAAAAAATAAAGGGAGAACCACTACCATATTGCAAGTAAATTCACCTGGAAGGCTCCCAAAATAGATCTTCTTGCTGCTGCTAGAACTGTTGGAGATTTTCATGTCTGTTCCATCTTTTGTAGGAGGGTCATCTGCCAACAAGGAATTTTTAACTTCTGAATCAAGATTTAGCAAATCATCAGGATCTCTAACTCCTCATTTAGCTGGAAGTTCTGATAAGCTTGATGGTTTAGGTATCTTCTTTGGCCAGTTAGTCCAACCATGGTCTTTCTCCCATAATTTCCTTCTGTCAGCCCTTTTCCTTTCATGCCTTTGTTTTTGTGTTCGGGTCAAATAGGAATCATCATGAACTGGAAACTTGGGATGATTAACCCTCTTCCACTTATCATTTTGCAAGGTGGGAGGCTTAACCATTCTTGGACGGAGATGCTCATTCCCCTTTCTGACCCACACTTCCGAGGCCAATTTTGGCCTGGAATGCCTATCACCTTCAGAATTTTTTCCTTACCAACTGCTGTTTTCATTCTTCCTGCTAGGATGAAAACTTGCCTCATAAGGAAGCCTATTCCTTTCCATGCTTCTTGGAAGGAATTCTGATTTCCTTGCTGCGGACCTTCTTTCTGTATAGACTCGGCTTTCCTTCTCTGGAGTGGTCACAGTAACTGAGTTTTTTACCTTTTGGAAAGTTTATCGGTCATGGACCTTTCGTTTCTATCCTCTGTCAGTGTTGGAAAGCCTTTCCTTCTGCTCCTCTTTTGGAAAGTCCCTATGGCATCCTCTATTCTGAATTTTAGACTTGGGACAACAACCTTACTGGATTAAGGCAATCTGAGCCTAATGAGTTACTTTTTCAACTCGGCCACTGTTTTCTCCATGGATGTTGCATCGTCAGGAATTTTTAGTCTTCCACTGAACCCTGGACCTGCTAAGTCCACCTTCTTCTTAAGGTGTTCTGAGGCTAAAGAAGTAACATTTGTGGCAACGACCTTGGGGAAAGGATTTCCATCAACACCCATGACTTCTGTCTTTTTTAGAAACTTCAACCTGCCATCTTCAATTGCCTTCTACACAATATTGCGGAAAATTACACAATTATTAGTGGAATGCCTCCATGAATTGTGAAATTTGCAATACTCTTTCTCGGCCATTTCTGAGGCTGTTGGTATCTTGTGGCCTGCTGTGAAAATCAGTTGCTTGTCAACCATGAGCAAATCAAAAATTTACTCGGCTTTATACTCTGTTCGGTAGGAAAAAGGGAAGGAGGGTGGAAGGAAAATATGAGGGAAGGAACAAAGTTCTTTTGTTCGGTAGGGAAGAGACAGAGAGAGAAAAGAAAAGAGGAGGGATGACTCATCCCTCCTCCTTCACAAATATTAATAAACTCCACAATCACATCTCAAGCAAAACCCTATCAAGAAGAACTCTGACTCTCTCAACCGATCTCTCTCACGCATATAACAAACTCTTGCTTGCTATCACTCTCTATATATACATGGATCCACATATAAATATGATTAATTTATTGATATTGGCAATATTTATAAACTGATCAAATTCATGTGATATCTATATATATATATATATATGTCAGGGAGGATTAGATTAATTACTTCAATTGGAGCATTTCGGTAAGGACATTTCCTAGGTATGAATCAAAGTGGCTGCCAAGGAATTATTGTAAGGACGATTCCATGGAATGAATCAAAGTGCATTCCAATAAGGACATTTTAATTGGAGCATTAGGTATTTGATTAAATTATTCTCTCTCTAAAGTGGCTGCCAAGGAATGAATCAAAGACCTAATTTCTAAGGACGTTTCCAATACTGCTGCTCCGGCTGAAACAATTGTAGCTCTCAGCAAGCTATTTCTTCTGCATTTGAAGAGAAATATAGTATAGAATTATCTTAACCTTTTCCTTTGTTCTGAATTTCTCTCCCTTCATAATTTACAAGAATCATTTTAATGGAGTATAGAATTATTAAAATCAATTCAATCTATCTTTTTCTTAACAATTTATAATTGACATTCTATGATTAATGGATTTTTTCTTTTTTTTTTCAACGCAAGTGGCCTATTTTTTATATTATTTTTTTTATGATGAAATATGATTCTAACGACAAATTATAGTAAATTAATTGTACTTATAACATAATAAAGGGTCAAATGAGTAGTAAAAATAGGGATGGGTAAAAATAATTTGAAATTCTCTCTTCTCTCTTTTCCTAAATGAACAAAATAGGTTGTTATCTTCTTCTCTTCTCTTCTATCCAACTGAACAAAGTGAGAGAGTTCATAATCTCTTTCTTAGGGATGTCTCATCATTCTCTTCTTCTCTCCCTTCCGTCCAATTTTTTTTCGTTCCTACTGGATGGAGCATTAGAGATATCAAAAGAGTAGCTTCTGGAAGTGTCTGCCCCATTCACTTGGAACTAGAGGCGGCTTGCAAGTTGGCCATAGGCTGATTTTGGTTTTGCCAAAGCCTCACAAGTATAGGCCTTCTCTATGTTGAGCTCAGCCATATTCACCTCAAACTCTCTTTCAACTTCAGTGGTATACACCTCATAGTTAGGATCACGATAGTAAGTGCCCTTGGAGGAGCTCTTCTTGTCTTGCTCCTCGTGAAGGAGCTCTTCATACTTGGCCACTACTCTGCCGGCCAAGTCGAACAAATCATGGAATTGTATTCCTTCAAACTTCTTACAAAGTTCAAATTCTAGGCCATTTACAGCCATCTTTACATATTCTTCTGGTGGCATAGACAAATTACATTTATACTTGGCCCTTCTGAATCTAGAAAGACAAATTATATAGTTGATGAAGTCTGGAAAGGTCTGCCATAGACACTTCAAGCTTAGCTCTACAGAACTTAGTATGGAATGAATCCTCAAATTGCTGCCAACTTTAGATGGAGTTGGCTGGCAAGTTGGAATACTACCTGAAAGCATAGCCAGTCAATGTGTTTGGAAATAAGCGTACCTTCAGCCATGGATTGGCTATTGCTTCTCCACATTGGATAGTGAAAAAACTGATATGTTCCAATGTGGACTGTTTGCCCTCTCCATTGAACGTTGCAAACTCTGGAATTCTGAAATTCCTTGAAAATTCAACTTCATCAATGAACTCTGGATAGGGCTTTCTGTAGGTTGGCCTTCTACCCCTTCGAGTTAGGCCAACCTTGAGGTGGATTGGCCACTTGATGCCCCAAACCCACCATTAGCAGTGGGTTGGCATCTGTATAATTATTCCTGCCATGGTTCCTTCCTCCTTGGTTAAAAAGTGGCTTCCTTGGAAAAGGTTGCCCCCAATTGCCATAGGAATGACCATTGGTGGCTTAAAGGAATAAGTGCGGCTAGCTGAATATTTACAGGTGGAACATTCCGTTGTGCTTGAGGAATGTGATATGGCCATGGTTGGCCAGACTAATCATGCCAAGTCTGTTGTGGAAAAGCCATAGGTTGAGGGTTCTGGACTTGCTGAATGGCTGGCATGGGTGCCGTTTGTGGAACAGTCATCTGTGCCACTGGAGTGGTCACAGGTGCAGTTGGAATGTAAGTCTGTGCCATTGGAAGGGACTGCACCTGCTACTGAGTTGGAGGGAACGGCCTTGCATGTTGTTGAGAGGAAGTACCTTCAACAAATATGGCTGGCCTGCTAGCTTGGAAGGTCGACTATTGAAACCCTTCAGAGTTATTTGACCGAAGGGCCAAACCTTGAGTCAAACCTCAAAGGGACCGTTCCAACATGGACTCAAACTTATGAGAGATTTGGTCCACCATTTCTGTTAGATTCCGTTCTTGAGAAAGAGCAGCTTTAGATTGGTTTTGAGCAACTCTGGCTAAGTCTTGAGTGACTTTTCCTTGGTCTTGCGCAAACCTATCTTAATGCATTGCCACCATGCAGATAATGTCCATGATGGGTCTATTTGCCATTGTTTGAGCAAAATTTTCCACCATATCATTTTCATCAGGTGCAAATCATGAACTTTCCACTGGAAGTTCACTGGCTTGCATCTTTTCTAGTTCGGCAGGGTCTTGGACAGACTTGCCTTGCCTTCTTCCACAGGACATTGAACAATCTGTTGAGATGTCCACCGGGCTTGCCAAGATGTTCGACTCCTAAAAACCGTGGTCCTTTCCAAGTGCGAAAAGGAGGGTGAGTGTCGGGCGTGCCAGGAACTGCTGTTGTTCTAAAGTGGATATCCGAACAATTATCCAATAGGAGATTGCAAGGATCAGGCGATCGTACAAAGGACTGGAATTACCACCTTCAAGGGTTCTTTTTTCCTTGAAAAAGGACTTCTGGATTACTCTATGGCTAGTGGAAAGGAAAGCGGTATTGAAAGTGCAAGACTTCAAAGTAACATGCTGGAAAGTAAGAAAGATAAGTACGGGACTTGAATTAAATATATTGAAAGTGCATTACATGAATGTAAAGATACATGAATGTAAAGTAATTGAAGTGCTGTATTGCTGTGTGATTTGAACAGGATTTGCAAACTAGCTCTAGGTATTCTATTTATAGAGCTCCTCTATGCATGTTGTAGCTTGATGTCGCAACTTCAGTGATTTCCACGTGGATTAGCCTGAAGTTGCCAAATGTCACATGTCTTTGGTGGTTATTCCCAGTTTTACAACCATCTTTCTCTGTCTTCTTCCTTCTTTGTGTTTCTTCCGAACATAATTCTTGCCATGTCTTCTTAGTTTTCCATAATCATGAATAGTGGGTAGTTTTGGAGTGGGTTTTCCACTTGTCTTCTTCATGAACCTCTATGTGTCCCACGTTCCTGTTTTTCTTCCTCATGTTGTCGACTTCTTTCCTTAACTTCAGACATGATCTTATCAACTTTAGCCTTGTCACCCATGATCCTTGATAACTTCCCCCGGTTAGTGGTAGTTCTCATATGAATTTCCACCACTTTCAACCGACGTGTTTATATTTGGCCAAGTATCCCATGATTTTAGGAGTCATTTCTTTCCATAGCGTCGTGGGTTGTATCTGATACGAATATATATACATTTATATATATACATAAATATACATCATCCCCTTTTCTTCTGCACCTACATTTCCTTGATTTCAATAATCTCCCTTAACCAGACTTTCCTTTCTAGTTTTTAGACTTCATGATGCCATGGACTCCTTAATTTCAATGTTCTTCTCATCATGGATTGGCATCCTCAATTTTTATAACTTCTCTTCTTGAGAATTTCCTTCCAGGTTCAGAATTTATGGCGTCGTGGCTTCTTTAGCAACTCCTTTATTTATCGTGGGCTACATATATATATATATATATATAGAAATATATTTTTCATTTCTGTAAAACATCACTCCACTTCCTTTGTAAATAACCACGTTGTTTAATCTAGTCAGAAGTAGTTGTTGAAGCCTTCTAGTTTTTAGGAGAAAATCTAGTCCCACATCTTGCTTAGTCAACCCTGATTTCATAATTAAATGAAAAATATCCATTTAATTGGTATCCTTTAAAAATAAGATTTTCCATGAACCTTCAATAAAACCAACTCTTAAAAGAATTGATCTATCGTGGCTAGCACCATGGCAAACTCAATAGAACTCGCGATGTGTTAATAAACCATTGGTTGGATGAATATGACTTGGATAAGTGTATGAGGTTAAATATAGTATGGTATTTCCATGTAATCTCTTCATTCCATATATGAAGAGGTGGGTCCTTGTTTTAAAGATGGCAAGTCCTAATAGGACTTACCTCTTTTCCTTTTAAAATAGAAAACCCCACATGGTAGGATTATATTTACCCACTTGTCTAATTACTACGTAATATTACATAGCTTCTAATAATAATTCATAAGAGTTGCGATCCAGCGTGGTAAGTTCTATTGGAACTCGCCACATACTTCCTCCTTATTGGTGGATAACACAAAATTAACCTTCAGCAATTCCATACTATGCTTCCTCCTTTGGACATTTAAAGCACCAATTTAGTGTGGCAAGCTCATTGGAACTCGCCACATGTTGCCTTTCCATTGGGCAAAAAATAATGGAGTAAACAATATGTATTGAAACACAATATTGTACTTTTAATAATAAGTATAGATATAGATAAATATGATATAGGCATTTGCTTAACCTTTTAATAAAATTGTTTACCTCAATTTGTATCAAAATTGTTTATCCATTTTTGTTGTTAATTTGGTTTTCAAAATTTAAACGGATTAATAGGTCCACAATAGAGATGAAATATATATATATACAGGGGCGGAGCCAGTAATTTATGTCAGAGGGGGCACAATGCACTTATTAAAAAAAATATATTTTTAATAAATACGACAATATAATTTTTTAAATCAAAAGGCCAAATAAGAAAATAATAATAATAATAGTTGTAAAATAATATGCTAAATAAATACCGTAAAAAATATATAGTTACCAATATAAGAATCAAAATATTAATTAATAATATTTTAATTAAATACAATCACAAATGTCATCGATAAAAAGAAATAAGTTTTAAAAAAATAGAAAAATACATAATTATACATAAGTGAAAAAAGAAATTTTTTGAAAAAGGAAACAAAAATTAGAAAAGGAAAAATATATTGTATATTTGAAGAAGGGATATATGTAATTTTTTTTTAAAAAAAGGAAATTAAAAGAATTTGAAAATTTGAGGAGGGGGGGAGGAGGGGCACTATTTAAAATTACCATGTAAGTATATATATATACAAAAAAATATGTACATATGTATAGAAGGTTGGAGCAAAGTGAGGGGGGTACGTGATATATATATATTCAGAACTTTCAAACATGAAATTTGGGTAGAAATTAGTTTTTTTATTTTCCATGATATATATACGTACCTTGCAGTTGAAGAGAGCTTGTATTTCGGAAATGCCTTCCTCTGATATTTCTTCTTTTTCAGAATCACGACTTTTGCAGAAACTTTTCAAGCTTGGCAACTCGTCAAGTCTCAAAATCTTCAACTTCGTGAACATGGTAATCTCATGACTTGTGTTTGCTTCTTGAACCGGGAGTAATTGATTGTCGCATATAGCTATAATGCTATTCAATTTTTGAATGTCCAATACCTCCAAGACAGGACAATTAATCTGTGATTCATTACATTAAATTTTGTTAACTAATGAACTCGTACGTATACGATTTTAACTATAAAAAAAAAATGGTATATCATTAACAACCATATTTGTCTCTCTTAGTTACAGTCTACTATAAATACATATATATTTCATATATATTTTTTGGTTCTATGTTCACACAAAATATAAATAAATAATTCAATTACTCTCATTAAATATCTTCCAAGAAGAGTCCATCTTATTTCCAATCTACTTCATCTACCATCCAAACCCCAGTTACATGAGAAACAAAAAAAACAAAAATCATAATAATAATAATAATAAAAAGCATTTCCCAAAACGTTTAAATAGCAAAGCAAAATTTTATCTGGACTTCTGATTATCTGATGGGCCTGTTATTGGGCTTTCTTACTTTTTGGTCTTAAGGTTTTCCCTTTTGTGTTTTGGGCTGCCTATATCAGCTTGGGTGTGTATGGCCTCTTTTTGCAAAGCCGCCTCTTCGGCCAGCATGTATTCTTGGAGTCATACACACACTAGTAAAGCACATGTGCAATCGTAATGAAAAGTTATATTATAATCTTAATTAAAAAATTTATATAAAAATTATCAAAATAAATTCACTTTTTCAAATAATTGATTAATAACTTGTTGAAAGAAAACATAATATACCTATAATAAAATAAAGAATTTGAACCATGCTGCGAAATCAATCAAAATAAATTAAGGTATTTTTTTAAAAATAAATGGTGACATGACATAATTAAACAAATACAAAAAAAAAAAAAAAAAAACACGATTCAAAGAATAAAACATAATTTTTTTTTTAAAAAAATCAACATGATTAATGCAATTTAAAAAATAATGTACCTATAATAAAATAAAGAACTTTGAACCATGCTGCGAAACCAATCAATCAAAATAAATTAAAAGCAAAGAATTTTGAACCATCATGTGTTATATCACCTTCTCAATTTTTCACGTACAAATGTAACTAATGTATCTCACCATTTATTATAATAAATCATAAGAATAATTTAATTATAAAATTATAATATTATAATGTAATTCAATTAGCATGATTAATGCAATTCAAAGAATAAAACATAATTAAAAAAAATCAACATGATTAATGCAATTCAAAGAATAATGCACCTGTAATAAAACAAAGAATATAAGCAACTTGTTTAAGTTGTTATAAGAAATGAAACATCTTGATTGAATTTTAATTAACAATTACTTATTTAATTTTAATTTGTAATTTATTTAATGATTTGAAACATCAATAGGATTTATTTTAATTGGTAACTTATTTTATTATTTGGTAAATTATTTTGTTCTTTTACCTATAAATGATTTGAAACATCTTGATTGAATTTCAATTAAACAATTACCTATTTAATTTTAATTGTTAATATATTTAATGGTTTAAAACATGTTGATAAAATTTCAATTAAACAATTACCTAATCTAAAATGAATTGAAACATCTTAATTGAATTTTAATTAAATAATTACCTATTTAATTTTAATTGGTAATTGATAATTTATTTTATTATTTGATAAATTATTTTATTAAAAAATTATCTATTTGATTTTAATACGTAACTTGTTTTAGTTGTTATAAGATTTGAAACATCTTGATTGAATTTCAATTAAACAATTACCTATTTAATTTTAAATGGTATTTATTTAATGATTTGAAACATCAAATTTCAATTAAACAATTATCTATTCAATTTGTAATTCATTTTATTTATATCAATTATTAATTATTTTTTATATTAATAAATAAATATTAAAATACTCATTTTATTTTATATCAATTATTAAATATTTTTTTATATTAATAAATAAATACTGAAATTCTATAATTCATTTTATTTATAAAAACACTTTTATTTTAATTCATTTTATATCAATTAATAAGTATATTTTTATATTAATAAATAAATACTGAAACACTGAAACTCTTTTATTTTAATTCATTTTATTTATAGAAACTCTTTTATTTTATTTCATTTTATATCAATTAATAAATGTATTTTTGTATTAATAAATAAATAAATAGTGAAACATTGAAACTCTTCACACATTTAATAATAGTGTGTGTGTGTATATAAATATATATACACACATTTGCTTAACCTATGAAAAAAATTGTCGGGGGAAGTAAGGTCGAAACCCAAGATGGTTAATTCATCTTTGTTGTTAATTTTGGTTTTCAAAACTCAATTGGATTAATAGGTCTGCAAATAATTTCAAGGAATCATAGAATATATATATATATAGAGAGAGAGAGCATACCTTTTCATTAAAGAGAGCTTGTTCAATGGTGGAAGGGTTGCACTCTGTAGTTGATGTCTTTTTCGTATCGGAATAGATGCTTCTGAGATTCGGCAAATTCACTAACCACAATTTCTTTAACTGACCAAAAAAAACATTATCCATGACGTCCTCATCACCTCCAACTATTTCTTCCAACATCTCACAATTTGTAATTGTGAGATTATGCAGATTTGAAAGACATCTTGCGGTGGAAGGAGAAAAGAGATACTTGATTGATCTACATTTTCCAACTTCTAATATGCTGAGTTTACCAAAAGAACCCAACGGGCATGGTGTATGAGGTTTTCCTAGTAGATATTCCATGTCATCACAATTCTTAACTTTAAGAGACTCCAAGTCTAAAAACCACTCTCCGTCAATGTGGTGAAGCACCTTCTTTGCACCTTCCGAATTAAGCAAAAATAGTACTTCAACATTCTTCATCAAAACATTGAACTCAATTTTCCAAGGAACATTCTTGAGTCCCAAGATCTTTGTTTTCGTGTATTCATGATTGCACCTCCCATCATAATCCCCAATCCAAATATGAAATGTTGTCAACGATTGAAAGCTGGGAAGGTCATTCTTGGGCAATAAGATGATATGTTTTGGTATACGAATATGTAAACTGGTTAAGCTACTCAAACAATGTAGCTCTGCAATACTTACATTGCCTTCATCACCCCATGTGTCAAATCTCAACGGAAGGTACAATTCCTCCAGGCCGGATAGATGTGATAGGACGCCCGACTGAAATATTTCAGCCATCTCACAATTACATTTTCTTAAATCCAACGAACGCAGATGATTTAACTGTACTACTTCATCAACCATCAGTTTATGTTGGAAATCATCATCAATACTTAGGATATCAAGGATTTTAAAATTCTTGAGGAAAGATAGATCCACCAACTTACAGTAGTGCAGACGCAACATCCGAAGATTAACCAGATTTGAAAGTGATGATTGCAATAGATTTATTCTATACAAATCCAAAACTTCCAGATTTTTTACCCATTTAAAAAAGTTACTAGGGAGTTCTAGTAATTGTGAACCACCAGGTGTGTTGCATCCCAACACTAGGGTGCGTAGTTCTCGGCAAACTAATTGATCCGGAAGCCGACTAACATTGTGGGAAGTCCTTAATGATATTGCTGTGCAACGTCTATAATCATTTTTTTCGGGCCAAACATTGACAACATCTTTTACGAGAAACACATTCGGATCTTTTGATGCAATTGAAATAGCAACATCCCGAATTACGTCATGCATTTTGACGGAATTTTCATCTTTACCTTCCAACAATAAATTAGATTTCTTAAGGATATTAACCAACGTTTTTGCTCTATCTCTTTTCTTTTTCATTGTATCCGAGCTTCGAAGAAACCCTGTTCCCACTCCATACTTCACCAAATCATCAATATAAATCTCTGTATCTTCTGGAAACAAACAACAATGTAGAAAGCATGACTGCGAATCTGTTTGCTTCAGATAGTCGTAGCTCCACTCTATGTTTGAATATAGTTTTTGTGGCACTCCCTCAATTTGATATCCCTGAGAATTCCTCAATTGTTCATGTGCATCATTCCACACGTGCTTTTCTTTCTCATCCTTCAGTGCTGATCCAATTACAAGAATTGCCAAAGGCAAACAACCACATTCTCTGCACACTTTTCCTGCTATAGAAAGCATTTCCGGATCAGCTTCAATATAGTCTCCAACCGTTCTCTTGAATAGTTGCCAAGCTTCAGGTTTCGTTAGGAGCCCAATTTCAAAGTTGGTTCCAAACCCCATCCATGTGCACACTTCTAGCCTTCGAGAGGTAAGCAAAATCTTGCAACCCTTGCTATTATCTATATCATCTGGAATTCCGATTTTCTTCAGTGTGATCTGATCACCCCAAACGTCATCCAATATCACAAGGATTTTTCTCCCGTTCTTCAATCGATTGCGTAGTTCACCCGCTCTGCCTTCTTCACTCTCTTTACTTAGTGTCAGATTTAAGCAGTCTGCAAGTTTTCCTTGGATTTTTCTCAGATCTGGAGTGTGGGAGAAAACTGCCATTGCAACCTCATCAAATAGGCCTTTATCAGCTTGTTTTCCAGCTTCTTCCACCATTGTTGTCTTTCCAACACCGGGCATTCCATATATTCCAATTTTGTAATTACTGTCATCTTTCATCGCCTCAATGATCTTGTTAAAAACTGAATTTCTGGATTCAAATTGCTCAAAATTTGTGGAGGAGACATTCCAAATACCAGTGAGATGAGGAGTATGTGCAAGTCTCTCAAACTTACCTTCATCTTTTAGGCCAGTAACAACCAAAGTCTTCTTCTTTCCTTCCCTACCTAGCTGATGCCTCGAGCAAACATCAAGACAACAGAGGTTCTGTCTGTCGTGCAATAACTTCTTCACTTCTTCAAACGTGATCAACGACCTCTCTACTTTCTCAAGCCACTTTGAAACATCTTCCTCCACTACCATCCCATTGTCCTTGGCCATTTCGACATCGTCTTGGACCCTCTTCATACAAGCTCTGAGATTCTCAACTTCAACTTCAAAATTCTTGATGTTGTGCTTGTAGTGAAACACATAACCAATTTGACGCCGAGTGGATGTGACCAAAAGCTCTATCATTGGCTTCAACATTTGTCCCACAATAGTATTGCCAACATCCATTTTCAACTCACTAGCTATCTACCCTTTTTTTGCTTTTTTGGGGGGTGGAAATGATATAATGAAGAGTTCTAACAGAAAAAACTAAAATTCAACCAACACACGAAGTCTGATTTTAATTGAGAAACAAGAGAAAGGAAAGTACAGAAAAGTGAAGATTCACAAGGGCAATCAAGAGACAAAGCTTACTCAAATTTTGCAGAAAAGTCAAGAGGGTGAGACCGTGAGAGTAATAGATATTGCAGATTGAGAGGTTTGAGTTCACAGACAGACAGACAGAGTGCGCCAAATTCAAGAAAGATTAGAAGCAAACATAAAAGGAAGGATAAAAAAAAAATGAAGGAGATGATGCAGTACAAAAGTTTTGTTTTGTTTTTTTTTTTTTTTTTTTAAAAGAAAGCAATACAAAAGATATTACAAAACAATTGAGAAAAAGCTGAATCAAATTTTTTTTTTTTTTTTTGAAGTTTTTTTTTTTTGAAGGAGATGATGCAATACAAAAGTTTTTTTTATTTTTTATTTTTTTATAAGGAAGCAATACAAAAGATATTACAAAACAATTGAGAAAAAGCTTACTCAAATTTTGCAAGAGGGTGAGAGTATGCAGATAGAGAGGTTTGAGTTCACAAATAGAGATAGAAATCGAAGGAGATGATGCAGTACAAAAGTTTTATTTTTATTTTTATTTTTTTATGTATAAGCAAGAAATACAAAAGATATTACAAAACAAATGGCAGCAAATTTTTATTTTTTTATTTTTTTGATTTTGAAATTAAGAAAGCAAAAGAAAAGATAATACCTCTAGCTTATGGATTTTGTTGGATGGAGCTAGTAAGCGTTTCAAATCCAGCAAGAACAGACACACCAAGTTGGATTTTCTGAGTGAGAAACAAGCTAAAGAGAAGTGAAGGTAATTGCAAAAGAAGAGAGATGCAAATTCAGATTTAGGAGAAAACGAATTAAAAAAAAGAAAAGTAAACCAAGGATGATCGGAAGAAATGGCAAGGGGGTTTTTTCAAGTCGAATATGGTGATATAGCAGATTTTGCGAGATTGGAGATGGCGAGTAGAGAATGACCTCTTCAATTGCTAGCTCCCCCATTAACAGTAAGCTACAAAAAACACAAACGTAATTGCAATAACCTCTTCGAAGTTTAATCAATGTACACTAAATGTCCCTTGTCATATTTGTAACTACGTTGTACTCCCTCTCTTCCAAAATAATTGTCATTTTTTTTATTTTTGTCCGTCCCAAAATATATATATATATATATATATATATAACTTAAAAGGATAATTTAGTAACATTTTAGAGAGACAATGTATGTCCATATGTCTCTTTAAAAATTACTATTCCCTAAAAATAACAGTTGAATTGAAATGGAGAGAGTATTTTATTACAATAAACATGTTTAACATAAGCATTTTTGTTGTTCACTATGTTTAACGGTTAATAAAGAGGAGCCATGTGTGACATCTACATTTTTATTTTCTTATATTATTAGACGCCTCCAACCAATTGTAGCTATTAGTAAGAGCCCTAAAATTATTACTTTCTTATTGTATTTTATTATTATTATTTAGCAATATTGTATATTATTGGACTTTTTCATTTTCCTATATTATTAGACTACTCGAACCAATCATAGCTATTTAATGGTTTGATTCATTCTAAAATTTCACTTTGTATCAAAATTCTTAATTTTATGCTTGTCTATTGTTTTTTTTTTTTTTTTCCCTCTTCCCTTTCTTCTTCCATGATTTTATTGAATATATCTTTTACTAATAATTGTGATACTTAATTTTTTAATTATTTAAAATAATTAAAAATTAAACAATAGTAAAAAAAAAAAAATGTATTCACTTGATTCATAATTATAATCAAATGTGTGAGCCCTATTGTCAAAGAGTTTTGGTTTAAATAAAGATTGTTAACATATTATGACATAACTTTTATAATTTTTGCCTAAGACTTAAAATTATATTGAGCAGTCCCTGGTTATGTTTGGTGACACCAGCACCTTAAATGTGAAATTAGAGAAAATTTAAGTTACATTAGGTCGCATGGAATTTAAGCCTTGTAATTAGAATTGGATAAAAACAACTCTGCAAATTAAATTAAAATTTTTTCCAATTCCATCAATTCTATTTTTAAGCCTCCAATTTTATGCACCCAAACAAACTACTAGTAAAAATTTTAAACTAAACTTATTACAATATCATATCTAAAATATCGATTCAATACTCCCAAATATAATATCAATGGTATCTGCACAACCTCATGCTCTAACATAACAATTCAAAAATAATAGAAAACAAGTGGCGTTGTTGTTTATGCAGTATTTTAAAATTATTGGTCGGTTGGTTTGTTCTGTGGACCAATTACTGTGTTTTACTCTTTCGTTTGAAATTGCAACTTTTTTAATAATTAAATAAACCAGGATGTTAGTTGCTTGACCCCAATTCAACTCATGTGGCCGAATTAGTGACATAACTCTTTAAATTAATCCATTGTTAATTGCGCTCCTCAAGATTGAACAATTCAACTAATGTGACCCAATGAATAAAGAAATAAATTTAATTTTATATGACAACTTGAATAAATTTAATAGATTTTGCGAGATTGGAGACGGTGAGTAGAGAATGAGAAGTAAATCAAAAACAAATGTAAGCAATAAAGGTTTACCAATAAAAAAAACAAATGTAATTGCAATAACCTCTTTGAAGTTTCGTCAATATACATTAAATGTTTCTTGTCAGATTTGTAACTATGTTGTACTTCCTTTGTCCCAAAATAAGTATCATATTTTTTTTTTTTTGTCTATTCCAAAATATTTTTTTAAATTTTAAATTTAAATATTCAAAACTTAAAAGGGTAATTTAATAATTTTTTAGGGAGACAATGTATGCTCACATATCTCTTTAAAAATTACTGGTCCCCAAAAACGACAATTGAATTGAAACGAAGGGAGTATTTTATTATAATAAACATGTTTAACATAAGCATTTTTGTTGTTCAACATGTTTAACGGTTAATAAAGAGGAGACATGTGTGACGTCTACATTTTTATTTTCTTATATTATTAGACTCCAACCAATTGCAGCTATTAGTAAGAGCCCTAAAATTATTACTTTCTAACTGTATATTATTATTTAGTAAAATACTGCATAAACAACAATGTCACTTGTTTTTAATTATTTTTGAATAGTTATGTTAGAGCATGATGTTGTACAGATACCATTAATATTACAATATCATATATATATATAAAGTATTGATATTGTAATATTAATGGTATCTGTACAACATCATGCTCTAACATAACTATTCAAAAATAATTGAAAACAAGTGGCTTTGATATTGGGAAGGCATTGTTGTTTATGCAGTATTTTCAAATTATTGGTCGGTTGGTTTGTTCTGTGGACCAATTAGTCTGTGTTTTACTCTTTCGTTTCAAATTGCAACTTTTTTAATAATTATAAATAAACCAGGATGTTAGTTGCTTGACCCCTCAGATGGACAATGAGTGACATGACTCTTTAAATTAATCCATTGTTAATTGCGCTTCTCAAGATGGAACAATTCAACTTCGAAAAAAAAAAAAGATGGAACAATTCACTAATGTGACCCAATGAGTAAAGAAATAAATTTAATTTTATATGACAATTTGTATAAAGTCCATTTATTTTTCAAAAGAAAACAAGATTAAGTGACTTCCTATGATTATGTATATTATAATGTGATCTCATATGGGCATGAAAGAAAACTTACATTTATTTATTTTATTCTCAGTTTTGCTCAATTCTCGTTCTTTCACTGTTCTATATTATTGACTCAATCTTGGGTTAATTAATTTTACTATTGCATATGTTAGATTGTTAATTAATCTTGGATCTTCATATTATCGTAATTAATCTTAGATCTTCATATTATCGAGTAATTAATTTACTTCTAATAATTAGCATTCCACTGAAAAGTTGAATGTCTAATTTTCCTTGGTTGATAATTGTGATGTGCGTGTGTTCTACTCAAAGAAACAAATTTAAATAAAAAAATAATTGATTAAACAAAGCTGATAAACATCGAAGGATTAGAAGTAACAAAAAGTAAAAAATTCATGCAAGCTTTTCTTGTCATCAACCTATACAAGGGGCGGGATGGCGATCTCATTCCCCATTCTCATCCTCATTTCCGGTGATTTTTTTTATCCCAATATTCGCTGAATTTTTTCACCCTCATCCCCGCCCTCATACTTGCATAAAAATAAAATATTGTCTACTAAATTTAAAATTTTTCCACATGTTGTATATACAAATATATATATCTAAAAAGTATTTTTGTAAACTTGCAATATAAATGGGCGGGGCGGGGCGTGTTTACCCTATCCCCATCACCCAGCCCCCACCCCATCCCGTCCGCATTTAGTAAACTACTTATATCCCCATCTCCATTGACATAGAAGGGTCTCCAAACTTGCCCTAAAAACAAGAGTTAGTAAAAACAAAAATAAAATGGTTAGATTGGAAGAAAATTATCATAAAAGAAAGTGAAGCAAATGAAATGAGTAAATTCTTCATTGTGTATTTATTTAGCATGAATAGAAAATTATTATTTTATTTTATGGTTTGAATTATATGAACTTACCATAAAAGAAATGTCATTGTTATAAATTCATAAAACATTTTCAAGAAATCACAATATCAGTGATTTTTAGAAGAAATTTTTTGAGACAGTTAGGTAATTATAGAAGTAATTTTTCCTCAATTTCTTTCTTTCCTCCTAACCAAACTTTTGAAGTGGAAAAAAATAGATTGTTTGGAGTCAGTAGACCAAAACCAATAGAGGCAAAAAAAAAAAAAAAAAAAAACACACACACACACACACACTATATAATTGCATATCACCTCTAAAAAATGACAAAAAGATATAAAAGATAAAATAAAAAATAAAAAATAAAAAACTTGAAACCAATCTGTGACTCTATCTTTAATTTCATCTTGCAACTTATATAAATAGATATAAAAGATAAAAAATAAAAAAATAAAAAACTTGAAACCATTCTGTCTTTCCTTTCATCTTGCAACTTATATAATTAATTACCTTTGGAAAAAAAAAATCTAAATAATTAATTTAGTAAACCACGGATGTTAATGGCATTGGTGAAGATCCATAGGTTCACGGATGTTAATGGCATTGGTGCAGATCCAGTGCACATCCAAGGGTTGATGTGAAACCACCTCAGATCCAGTGCACATCCAAGGGTTGAGGTGAAACCACCTCAGCCCATTTGCCACATCATGGCCCAGTCAACATCCAGTCAGCACCCAGTCAGCATTTACATAAAAAAATTACTGATGTACTATTTTCATTTACCACATTTACGAATACCCCTTACACTTATACTAATACACTATACACTTATATATTATACGAAATCAGAATACATAATTTACAATTACATTTAATATTTTTTTGTAAAAAATTACTTTCAACTTTACCTTTGGGGATAAAATTACAGAACCCTAATCTCTCTCCTCTGCTCTTCGTCTTCGTCGCGTCCTCTGAACCTTGTTCCACTGTTCTTCTTCCTTCCAACTCTTGTAGTCTCCTCTTCGTCTTCGTCTGAAGTTCAAAATTTCAAAATTTAATGGCTAGGTTAAAATCTATAGCGAGGAAAAAAACCAATAAACATACGTTCCAGGCATCTAAGAAGAAGAAGTCAATTTCTACCAATGACGCTAGAACAGAAAACGTCTCACATGAAGGACAAACCTCACGTGAAGGACGAAGCAATGTTGGTATTTCCGGTGGCAAGTAGAATTTGGTGAACCGGCCTCCCACAGTGTTCTTAATGTATAGGTAAACATTGATTATATATCGGTTTGTTTTAGGGTTTAGAAATTTATTTCAAATTTTATGGTTGGGAATGGTGAAATTGAGTTTTGGAAGTTAATTGTTTTAACGTGTTAGGAAAATATTATGATGGTATATGCAATTGATACATGATACATGTGTTAAAAAGTGGTGATAATAATAATTTATTGTTTCCGAATATGAAATCTTCCTACATATACTGAAAGTGTTTGTGGTTGTTATTATGAATTTAGGAATTGTGAGATTGAGTTGTGGAAGTTAATTTTTTAAGTTATTAGGTCAATATGTTGATGCAATAAAAAAAAATAAGTTAATTTCATACATGATACATGTTTAGATAAGTTGTGAGCATAATACATTGATTTGTCCAACTTTTGTATTGTATTGCGTTACAAATAGTAGGCGATGAAATATGCAAATCTTCTTACATATATGTTGAAAGTATTTGTGGTTCTTATTATTAATTTATGAATTGTGAAACTGAGTTGGGGAAGTTAATTGTTTTAACGTGTTAGAAAAATATGTTGATGCAATATGCAATTCATACATGATACATGTAAAAATAAGTTGTGATAATATGCAATGCATACATGAGGGCCGAGTGCATTAGAAAGTACTGGCAAGAGCATGCAAAACATGACAGGTTACCGAAGGCAGTGATGCTTGCGGTGCACAAATCTGCTAGAGAATGTAATGTCGCTGTTGATAAAGAGCCATGGATCAGGGAGCGTACAAGATGAAATGAAGAGTACGACAAGCTTCCTGAAGAAATAAAGGCCCCAAAAAAAGAAAGGCTGATTAAATTTTAATGTAAATATTTTATTTGATGACGAAACTCAGAATGTATGCATGATGTGTTATAATCATATGCCTTTGAAGCAGAAGAAAAAGAAAAAAGATCAATCTGACCTAAGGTGCCTGGCACAGATGTTCTCTTTCCAAGTTCCGCCAAGTAGTGTCACAGCTTAATGAGGAAAAGATAAAGACTGTTGAGGAGCTTGGATTTGGAAAATTGCTGGAACTTAAATGTTCTTTTTTGTCCCGGAAGTTATGTATGTATTTAATCAAAGTTTTTGACTCTGAAAAATGTTGTATAAAAGTTGAGGACATAGGTTATATACCCATCCATTCAACTGATATCCACTCGATCCTTGGCATACCATTTGGTGTTCCAAAAGTACCGAAAAATAATCAGTATCTTGATTCTAAGTGGATAGATGAAGGTGGTTATAAGGAAGCTAGTCGAATGCACCAAGATGTATTATTAGAGCAAGTTTTAACGGTAAAGGGAATTAATGAATTCAAGCGAGCGTTTGTGCTCTTTGCTTGCAGTATTGTACTCAGTCCCACCGGTCGTAATAATTGTCATTAGGGCTTGTTGAAAACTGTTGATGATGTGAATGTAATTAGCAGTTACAACTGGTGTGAATATGTCCGTGATTGTTTGGTGAGAACCCTGGAACCATCTGCAAACGGCAAGCTAAAAAAGTCATATGGTGGTTGTATGATTTTTTTGCAGGTATCCTTGGTTATGATTTTTATACATTTGCCTTTAAAATGTGTGTGAATTACATATTAATTTTATGAAACAGAAGTAATAATTACTTTACTTATTGGTCTGTTAAATCAGCTGTTTTATCTGATACATTGTGATACGCAATACCGAGCTTATCCTGAGGGAGATATTAAAAGCTTAGGTTTTTGGACATCAGAGGTTGTGCGATCACGAATCAGATGGGAGATGGGTAATGGAGGTTTTGGACATGGACAGGTAATTATTTTTGTCATGTATGGACAGGTATATTTACGAATAGTATTTTGTATTGTTGAAAATATATATATATATATATATATATATATATATATATAATTTGATGATAGACTAGTATTATCTAAATATGGAATGGAAATAGTTGATCCCTCTGAAGCTGAAAACATGTAGCAACAGCAGCAGTGGTAATGATGTGCCAGCCGAAGATGGCTTTGGCCCTTCTTTAAACATTGATTTTGATGATTATCATTTTTCTGACTCGGATGTGGAGGTAATTGTGTTTAAAATACATTTTCTCTATTTACAAGATATGTTTGAAAAAGTTTTGTGAACTAATTGTCCTTATTTTATGCAGGCTTGCATAACTAAAGTGTGAATGGACATACAAATGGCTGAATTGCCTCTATTAAAATCTAAAAGAAGTCTAACAAAAATGTTGTCTGCCTTCAAGAAGCGGGACATGAAAAAAAAAAAACAAGACTGTCAAGGGAGAACAAAGAGAAGAATGATGGGTTGGATGGGCAACCAAGTGATGCAGATGGTAATGATGATGATGTTGACTGTATTGAGGAATCAGGTGGGAATGAAGAAGTTCAGGATGAAAAAAATAATGATAAAGAAGTTGAGGATGAAGAAAGTGATGGTGACAATGAGGAAGCTGATGATGAAGAAAGTGATGGAGACTCTGCAGATGGCAATGAGGCCAATGAGGAAGGTAAGGATGAAGAAAATGATGGAGAGTCTAGCAATGGCAATGAAATAAGCAAAAATGAAGAAACTGATAAAAAAAAGTGAGGAAGAGTGTAATGATGATGATGAGCAGGAGCAGGGTGAAAAGAATGAGAGCTGTTCTACTCCAACTCACAGTCTTTTGCTAACTACCGAGGAAAATAATGAGTTGAATGATGCTGTTGCGGCCACTTGTCGAGACAATGAGTTAAGTTCGGACCACATTGAGTTAACAGAGAATGAAGGACTTGTAAGGGTTGCAAGGAGGAAGAGGAAAATAAAGAGTTGTGGATATGCTTACAATCACTATGTAAAGAAAAATAATAAAATGGTTCGTCTCACGAAGGAGCAGAAAACGCTGTTAACATATGTGGGAAAGTTTGATGGAGAAAATTCGTAAGTTTTTTAATGCACACTTGTCATCTTCTGCATTACATATGTTTGCGTTTAAATAATTATTGCATGTTTTTATATGTAATGTGTGAGTATGATACTTAGGTCCGTTTGGCATGCGTTTTACTTTAGGCGTTTTGTTTTTGGCTAAAACAGAAACTGTGTTTTTACTATTGGAGTGTTTTGGCAAAAATCGGAAGCACGTTTGGGAACGATGTTTTGTTGTGGAATTGTCGGAAACAGAAACATGAAAAACATGTTTGGTAAGCCATGCGTTTCAAAAATTTTGAAAATAAAACATGTTTGGTAACTTCAACTGTTGTAAAAATAAAATAAAACAGAAACAAAAAACATGTTTGGTTATCATTTTTTTTAATTTATTTTTATAAATTTTAAATTTATTTATAAATTTATTTCTATATAAATAGTATATATATATTTTAATAAATATATTAAAATTTGAACACACAAACACATATATATATAATTTGACATGTAGAGTTCCATCTTTTTACTGTGTTTTTATGATCTAGATATTAAGATCACCTTTTCTATTTCTAATCCATCTATTTGAAGTCAAACTTCACAAAACATCTATCAAGGAGTCATAACATAAAAAATAAAAAAATATAAAAAAAACACCCTGCTAGAATGGAAGCTTACAAGGAAGCTTCTCAAATCATACTCATTCTTCTGTATTAGGAAAAATGACAAAGAAATTGAGAACAAATTAAACAGTAGATTAAATTAAATAAGAGATATAATTCAAAGTTCAAACACAATTCACTTCATTGTTTACAAATTTCAACAATAGGATTCAAAAACAAAGAAAAAGATGCTTAACAAATAAAAAGATGTTTCCTTATGTTTTCCTTCACTGTTAGGAAGGTATCAGAAAAACTCAAAAGATCTTACAAGAGACATACTTAAAAAAGCACAAATTTCATTTCCATGGAACAAGTTTCAATAGTAGGACACGTCATCTTCATAACAGCACACATCACCTTCAAGAGAGTATCAACACACTTCATATCTGCAATGGTAGAATTTAAGTCGAAAAATATTAACAATAATATCTGTCAGCAATAGTAAAAACAAAATAGTAACAACAAAAATGATATATAGTACATATATATATTACAAGCCCACAATAGCAACAAATTTATTAGATATAAAAAAAATAAAAAAAAAACATTCCATCAGTTTCAGGAAGATCAAGAGTGCCCAAGAGAATTCCAGATTCAATCAGCAATAGTATTACGCAACTGATCCATTTCTCGAAGCTGAGCCGGAAGCACATGCTCAACAATCTCATCGTCTTCACCATCTCTTTGAGGAGGATCATCACCATCAAATAAATCATCAGGCTGATATTGATTTCTAATGAAGTTGTGTAATGTGCAACAAGCCATTACAATCAATACTTGTGTTGAAAACTTATAAGGAGGCATTGCCTTCAAAATAACGAATCTCATCTTCAACAACCCAAAGCATTGCTCAATTATATTTCTAAAAAATGAATGCCTATGATTGAACACTTCCTCCCGACCACGGGGTGGTTTACTCCTACGGTATTCCTGAAAGTGGTAAGTATGACCTCAAAATGGGGCCAAATAACCAAGCTTATTGGCATACCCTGAGTCCACCAAATAATACTTTTCTGCAATGTTTAGAATACGTAAATATATATATACTATGATAAACTGACCATACATTAAATGAATTTGTAAGATAATAATACCTGGTGGTGGAGCTGGAAAGTTCATTGCCTCATTCTCAATATACTCTTTTAAAATTCTCGAATCATTAGCGGAGCCTTCCCACCCAGCTAGCACATATGTGAATCTCATGTCAAAGTCACATACAGCCATTACATTTTGTGTGGTATAACCCTTTCTACCACGAAATGGAAGTTGTGTAGCTACTGGCAGAGTTGCAGGAATGTGGGTTCCATCTATAGCTCCCACGTAATGCTTGAAGTAAGGGTTAAACCTAGAAGAATCTTTAATCTTATTCGGAATCACAGAAAAATCAGGAGGGGCAATGATATGGGTGCCCAACTGACATACTGCATGCAACATAGTATGGAAGTGTCTGGAAATGGTTTTAGTGGAGTGTTGAAATCTATCTGCTACAACACGATTCCTTTAATTATGAGATAAAGTGAGCAAAAAGATTGTCACTTGTTCATATACAGTTAAAAATTTAGAATCCTTCAGCCCTATACCTTTCAGGGTACTACACAATGTTCTGAAAATTTCAGGGTACATCCTAAAATTTTCATAACATCTTTCTTTATGGCCGTTTAGAATCTCCATAACATACGCTTCCCCTTGTAAAATTAAATCCCTACAATGGCTCTTTTGATAGAAGTTCTGCTCTTCTAAAATAGCAGCAAATATTAAGACACTCTCATTGTCATCCTCATCGTCATATAATTGAATTATTCTTCTTATATTATTCCACATATTCATTGCCCTATTTAAATATTTAATACAATCAAAGCATTTAAGTTGATAAGCAAATCAATTAAATAATAAACAAAACATTTAAATAATAAAACAAACATTTAAATAATGATATTAAAGCATTTCAGTAGTAACAGGCATCCAAGAAATAAAAGTATTTAAGTTATTACAGTCATCCAAATGTGAGATAATAAAAGTATTTAAGTTATTACAGTAATCCAAATGTGAGATAATAAAAGTATTTAAATTATTACAGTCATCCAAATGTGAGATAGTAATAAGTTTAACAATGACACAAAACACAATCATCCATAAAGAAAAACTCAAACATTCAGTGCCCAACCAATTCTCATCTCCTCAGGTGCCGAAAGAAAAAATTTCTGCCACTTCTCAGAATCATGTAATAACTTCGATACCTTAACGAATTGGGCCATCTCAATTCCAGGTATTTTTTGTAAAAGGAGCATGGAGTCGTCAAACATTTCATCATCTCTGTCCTTTTTAGAGGGAAAGAGAACTTCATCTCCTTTATCACATGAAGATACAAGAGTAGAAGTAGAAGATGCTTTAGCTGCTTTCTCTATTTCAGCTTCCATTCTCTCGGTTCTCCTCTCATAATTCTCATTCATGTTTTACAAGAGTACAGCTATACTAGGAGATAAACCATATCTTTTGGCTTTCTTACCTTTACGTAAAGGTGGGAGACTGACATCACAACCTTCTTCCTCATCATCATCATCATTGGGAGTGGGCAAAATGATTGCGGGGGTTGCTGTAGTGGACAGGTGGGCATGCATCCTTGTTGCATATGTGTCCCCAAATATAGTCGACATCTTATCAAAATGCTTACATCCATGCTTTTTAAACTTATTTGCATTCGCAACAACCTACTAATTTTGTTACAATATTAACCTCATAACCAATAATATACAAGATTTTATTATTTATTTAGGACTAACAATTAAATTACTAACCTTGCACAACCTGTCGCATCTCTCTTCCTCAACTATAACCATGCCCGTCTCATGGTCATATCCCATGCCAGTCTCCGATAATAATTTCTTAAACACGAAATAAATTTTCCTCAAACCATTAAACTTATTCCGAAGTTGGGTTAAACCAAATTTTCTCCCTTTTTGAACATTCATTTCTTTGAGAAAATTATTCCAACCACTTTTACTAAATGTTGTGCCACTACGATTATTAGCCTTAACTTCTTCCACCATAATATTCACGAATTTTTCAATGAGTGACTCATCCCATAATAATTTTCCATCCTTCGTAACTTCAACCACTTCTTCAATTATGAGATAATCACCGCATTGTTCCACATTCTCAACATTCATATCCATCTAACATATTAATAACAACACTATAATTAATAACAACAAAAATAATATTAAACTAGGAAAAACTATTGATGTTATTAAAGCTACTCTATCACAACTATTGATACTGAATTCATGAATGTTTATACTATTAGATGCAATAAATAATACTCAAATCTATGGCTTTCTTACCTTAAGCTTAAATGCCATAAATAATACTCAAATCTATGATTTTTAATTAAAGTAAGAAAATGTTTCTAAAGTTCACTAAATATTGTAAAAAAACCAAATGCAGGCACATTCAAGTGATGGTATATCATCTAGGAATCCAATACGAACACTATTCCAACCCACACAGGAAAGAAAACTACTTGCAACAATCTATATATGCATTGAGCACGAAACTGTGTTCCAGACTGATGTATTCACTCATATCAATTTTAGTCGATCTCTATCAATTGTTTGATGTTTTATAATTGCTTTGGACACGTAAGTTCTTCTAGAGAAGCATCTTGAACCTAGTACATAGTCCAAATGAAGATAATTTATGTACTTTCCCCTAGTAATTTACTGTTAGGAAAAATGTTACCACAGTGTAATTTTATATAGGAACATCTAGGAGCAATTAATGTGAAATTCACAATACCAATGTATAAATTCACATAAATACCTAGAAAAGTGAGAATGATTTGCCAGATCCCGAAAAATGCTACAAACATCCATAATTCATAGTGATACAAACAAATAGTCTCCCAGGTTACATGTATTTTTTTAAATAGTCTCCCAGGTCACATGTACCATTAACCATGAGATTATAAATTTTATAAGGGACAGGAACCAGTTCTTCATGGTCTCTACACATACGCAGGTATCATCCAAATTTTCTATCTTATGCTGTTATCTATCATAGACATGAACATCATGGACGGGGACGGATCTATATGAGGCCCAGTGGGGGCACTTGGCCCCACTGAAATTTTAGAATTTTGTATTTTACCTAGAAAATCTTAGGTAATTATATAAATACCCTCATACCTATATCCTTTGCCCCTACTGGAATTTTAAAATTTTCTATTTTTACCTAGAAAATCTTGCAAAACTTTATAAATGGCCCATAACTTTATCCTTTGACCCCTTTTTTTTTTTGCCTTCTCTCACTCACGCCCTAATTATTGTTTAAAATCGCCCCCATCGAAACAAATTTCTGGGTCAGTCACTAATCATGGACCTTGTTCAACAAATATGAAAGAGATATTCAATTATCAGCATTAATATTCAGATCATTAAACAACATCTTGTTTACTAAGGAAAAAATAAACCATTATTAAATAGACTTTTTAAACTAAAGCGACATCCTTAATATATATATTCTATTAAGCAGTATGATAACCAATGAGGTAATGCATGCCACAAAATTCATAGTCATATTACATGTAATAAATTGTACTCTTATACTGTTTTCTTATTCGAGATTTTCAATATACTTTTTTAATTATTTATGCTTTGTATGCATTACTAATTTTGTTATACATAATACATTAATCTGGCACAACAAACCATATTAGCAAAAATTATCCATATAAGCAGAAAGTTTTGCCATAACTTATCAACATTCTAACAGACAAATGTATTTCTTTTGATGATAGTGAATTAGAAAAAGACTGGTCATGTTGCATGTGTTCATGACTTCTTATCATTTGCGAAGGGAATCACGACATGCATGTTCATGATTTTGTGTAATTTTCTTTGTTTTGGTCTTAAATGATTACAACTACCTAAAATTCAGAACACTGATTATTTTGTTTCATTCTAGGTCAGATCAATCCAAATTTGAACCTACACGAAACTCTTAAATCATGAGAGTTTATGTGATACTATAAAATATAATGAGAAAAGAAAACTATATTTTCAATCTCGGGAATTTATATAGAAAGATGGGAATGAAAAGAACATGGAAGTTGACAAATCATAGGACATGAAAATCCTTTGACTCACGTGAAAACTTTGAATATTTTTAGTAAAATTACAAATTCTTATGGGAAAAAATTACAGAATTAAAGTTCAAAAGACACAGGCTCAACAAATACAGAGTTGAAATTTCCAAAATGAAAATATTGTTTACTTTTTCATGACATCTAATTTGTTTTTCGATTCTTCTATATTCTTTATAAGGCATTTCTTGATAATCAAAAGAAAAAAGATAAAATAAAATAAGAAAAACTCAAGCATTCAGAAGAAGGCAACCTGGAGGAGCCAGAGCAGACATTCAACCTACCCACTTGATCAAAAGGAATAATTTGATGACATTTAATATTATAGTCCCTACTAGCCCCTCTGAATTTGAAAACCTATTAGTAGGGACTCTGCCAACTAACACGAAAAAATAAAATAAAATTAAAATTAAAATTAAAAATAAATAAATAAAAATTAAAAAAATCACACATTCGGAGTTTCCTTAATTTCTTCTCACAGTTAACTTGGATCTTGTGCTTAAGGAATTTATCAACCATAATTAATCTTAAAACAACTAGGGGAACAGTCACGGTTGCGCATCAGATTCCAAGAATAATATAAACAGAAAATTTTCTGCATCTCACTAAAGTTTGTAGTCTAGTTCTTTTCATACAAAGACAAGGAGCAAGAATCTAGAGTCTATAGCAACTGGAGGAAGGGAAACAAAAAACCTTTGGTCTGTCTTAAAATAACAAATCAATTATCGATTCCTTCAGCAATAACAATGGATTTTGAGATCCCATTTAAATAAATAAGGAGTTCGTTGTTGTTTACTCACCGATTCCTTTTCGTCGCCTCCCAAATCACCTCCCAAATCTTCGTCGCCTCCCAAATCGCCTTCTCTAGGTTTTCAGAGGAGAAAGAAAAGATCGGGCCAAATGTTGCAAACGCGTTTTAAAGTTACTTCAACCGCTACAGTGTTAGACCCAACTTACTTCAACGGCTACAGTGCTTTTTATTGGGCTATAGTTTAGAAACAACAAAAAACACCATTTCGGTGTTCACTTTTGGGCCAAAATTGAGTACTGTTTAAAACAATGTTTTTGTACTGTTTAAAACAAAACAAGTGCTACCAAACATGTTTTTGGCCCTGAAATGAAGCCCTGCAACAAAAACACCAAAGTAAAACACTTAACAAATAGGCCCTTAATTTACAAGCATTGTTGTTAATTGTCTCTTCAATGAAATAATCGTTTCCATATTTGGTCGCATTATAAGTCGTCACCAGATTCAAAGTGTATTCCATGATAGGTGGTTGTCCGATGATGTGAGTTTAATGAATTTCGCACATTACTATTGCATAGTTATGGTTGTTGATGGTATAAAAATTGAATTTATCTAAATTAAATGTATTTATTTAAAGGTGATTAATTTCTTTGGGAATATACTAAACATGGAGGAAGGACCTGTTGGAGAAAAGTACTACTTTAGTAGTAGAGCGGTACAATTCATAATTGATTTCAATGTGATGAAGATAAAGACTAAAGCTGAACGCTGGCCTATCCTACAGCAAGTCTGGTCAAAATACATTAAGGATTCTGAGATGACTTTTCTTCCACGTCTGATGCAAGCGCAGTTGGTGAGTATATCTTTTATTTATTGGATATAAATTTTTAAACCTTGGTTTTTGTATGATTAACTTGATACTGATGTTGGTGCAGTTATTATTCCCATCATGCATAGATGGGTATTGGTTATTATTTGTGGTAAACTGTCGCAAGCGAACGGTGGATTACATTTGTTCAAAGGGAAGAACCCATACATGTATTTCGTATGTTAATTTGTTGGTACGTATATGCAGTTTCAGTTGATATAAAGAATTTTTAGTGCCAATATATTTTTAAAAAAACTTGTTTTAATCAACAGAAAGAGTTTGCTGGGATTGTGGTTGGTGAAGATTTGAAAAAATATCGTACGTACATACCAAAGAAAATATCCCAGCAACCTGACAGGTATATATAATTGAATGTGTGTTTCATGTAAAAATGAGGTTATACGGTTTTGGCGAGTTAGTTGTAAACCAATTATAATATAGTTGACCGGTTTGACTTGTTTTTATATTTTTGTTTCAGCGAATCATGTGGACTTTATGTGATGAGGTTTATGGAGACGTGGAATGGAAAATGTTTTTCCCGTGAATTTGAACATGTAAGTAAATATGTTAATAAGTTTTACGTGCAAGCATATTTAAAGTAATTTAATTGATACTTACATTTATTCATACAATATTGATAATGTTGCAAGAAGACATGAAAGCAATGTGTTCTGAGACACTACTGTAATTGATTGATAACGATAGGAATGAAATAAGACGTGATTTATACTCGCTGGTAGAATCTCTTCCATGAATGAATGTAAAACAAAAAACCAATATTTGTACATATGTTACCATTTTTGGCTGTATAACATAAATCAAAATTTGGTAGGCACCATTGATTTGTATTTGTGATGTTAGTCGGTAAAAACATGTGATAAATAGAACGTCTATTCATTTATTGATATAAATTTTATGTTATAAATGTGTTCGTACAGTACATGAAAAATATTTGTGATGTTAGTTAGTAATACATTATGATGTATGTCAAATCAGATAAAAACGTGTTTGTGATGGTATATCCAAGTAACAGTTGACATATAGTGAGATTATAAAACATTTGTTTGTATGACAATTAAATTAATCAGATAAATGCATTGAATTATTTATATGATTGTTTTGTTATAAATATATTTCTACACGACATAAAATGTATTTGTGATGTTGATTTATAAAACAGTATGATGTAGACGAAAATGTATAATATTATTTATATAAATGTTACGTTATAAATGTGTTCATACAATAGATAAAAAAACATTTGTGGTTTGAGTTAGTAATACACTATGATGTATGCCAAATCAAATAAAAACGTGTTTGTGATGGTATATCCAAGTAACAGTTGACATATAGTGAGATTATAAAACATTTGTTTGTATGACAATTAAATTAATCAGATTTATGCATTGAATTATTT